AAAAAAAAAAAAAAAACTATAAATCCTCACTGAACTAAGGGGTCAGGAGTCACTCCTTGGGACCGATGCGTCGGAAACGGCTGTGAGTCCAGGCTGGAGTTTGCAATACTCTTGTGTGATTGCATCTGATTCGGCTCCTGGAAGTCTATAGGGGTCCCACGAATCTGGCATTACACCTGCTGATGGGAAAATCATAGCCTCTGGGACAGGAGTCCCTGTGTTTCTCCTTTGCTAGCAAAGCAATAAGCCTTTTTGTCAAAATCATGTTCTCGTTATTAGATTGGCACTGGGGACTAGGACCGAGCCTTAGGTAACACAATCTGTGATCCTCCTGTCTCAGTCTCTTGAGTTGTTGTGATCACAGTTCTGTGCCATTGCACCAGGCCCTCTTGTCTCTTGTTTAATAAAATTCRTCTTTATAAAGCTACATAAATATTATGTGGCAAATAAATGCTATAGAATTAAAAAAAAAAAAGTCTACAGTGTCCTTCCCTTCCTTCCTTCCTCTGTAACAGTGGTCCACTTTATACTTTGAATATAGCCCCTGCTGCTCTGCCACTGCAACTTATTTTTAAAATGGGCAAATTTCTTTCTCTTCCTCTCTCTCTGCTCCTCCCTAATCTCTCCCCCTCCCTAATCTCAGGGAAAACAGGATTACCTTTCTTACCCATTGGAGGCAAATTTATCTGTCCTTGAGTACACACCCACCATAGAAATGAAGTATCCAGATTTTGGGGATGGTACCAGAAGATCTCAGAAAGGACCCTCTCCCAAACAAGCAAATTACAACTCCAAGAGAACACATGGAATGTCACCTTTGAATCACCTCTTTAAAAGCCCCCTATTCCTGCTGATGGGTAGAATCATAGCCTTTGGAACAGGAGTCCCATGTGTCTCCTTTGCTAGCCAAGCAATAAACATTTTTCTTTTTTCTCAAAACCATATCCTCGTTATGGCATTCAGGACAAAGACCGAGCTTTCAGCAACACCTCATCCTTGTCTCCCCTCTTTTTTCCTTTCTTCCATCCCTCCATTCCTTTCCTCTTCCTTCCCCATTCTCTTTCCTTTCAAAAACTCAATGGACAACCTGGTTTTGTCCAAACAAGTTCTTTATTGAACTGTATATACAGGTGGACCACATGGAAAAAAACAAACATAAAAAGCTTGCCTTATTTCAATTGAATTTATAAGGCATAATATTAGAGTTTACTTCAACAAACATTTACCAAGATCCTACTATATGCCAGGCCATGTGTGGGGTACTGGGGACCCAAAGATCTATAAAACATCTGTCAGAAGCACCCACCACAAAGGATTTAAAGAACAGCATAAAACAGAGGTGATGTTTAACCTCTATTTTTAAAAATAKTTTTTGGTTGTAGTTGGACACATTACCTTTATTTTTATTTGTTTTTATTTCTATGTGGTGCCGAGCATCGAACCCAGCGGCCCACACATGCTGGGTGAGCCCTCTATCACTGAGAGCCACAACCTCAGCCCATTAGCCTCTCTCCTATTTTTTTTTAAACTTTTATTGTTCTGATGGATATTCGATGTTTCCTGTAATGATAGCATGTCAAATTATCCATTTTATTAAAAATGTAAATTTTAATCTAAGAGAGGGTGGGTTTGCATGAAATGCTACTGTGAAATAATATGCTTAATTGTCTAATACCAAAAACACCATCATTCAGTGGAACAAGCGACTTTCATGATTCTAAATTGTTAATAGTTGAGATAAAGAGTCAACCTCATGAATGTAGTTAATTTAAAGTAATGCCACAAGTTATACAGATCGATGTTTCTTTGTCTCCTGTTTTCCTGAGCTGATGATAGGGGTTAGTTTAATTATCCACATCCATTATGTTTCATAATCTAAGTGGAAATCATAATCTTTTCCATGATCATGTRTTATTTTTTTCCATGTATTATTTTTGTCCAAGTTTTTTGACACTGAGTTTTCTATGGAATGTGGATACAATGTTTATTACAAATGTACCCACTTTGACCATTTCTTCGGAGAAACTGATATGACTCCATTTTTGAGAAACTAGCTTCTACCTCAAGGCCTGTCCAGAGGGAGGGGGCGTGACCCTTGTCCTTGGAAAAACCCACAGACGCTCCTAGGCACATACCTAGGAGAGTTGTTTAACAGGAGGGATCTGTGCCACCAGGTGTCCCTGACTCAGTTATGCTAAGTGAGGACCCATAGCAACCCCCTAGCAACCACCAATCAGAGTGAGACGGGGAACATATGTAAAATGCCAGGTGACCCTCCCAGAAGTTTCGGTGATTGATAACATGATTAGGCCACCTTGCAATTTAGCGTATACACTCTTGCAACCCAATCAGTTCAAATGTATCCACCACTTGAACTAACCAATCACCCTTACCCAACTTGTTCCCACCAGTGAATGTGCTAATCAATGTTAAGAGTTGTTGTTTAGGGGCTGGGGATGTGGCTCAAGCGGTAGCGCGCCCGTCTGGCATGCGTGCGGCCCGGGTTCGATCCTCAGCACCACATACCAACAAAGATGTTGTGTCCGCCGAGAACTAAAAAATAAATATTAAAAAATTTTCTCTCTCTCCTCTCTCACTCTCTTTTAAAAAAAAAAAAAAAGAGTTGTTGTTTGATTTACTATAAATCCTCATTGAACTAAGTAAGGGTCAGGACTCATCCTCAGGATCACTKCATCCGAAACCATTTTGAGTCCAGGTTCAAGCTTGCAATAAAGAYTCTTGTATGCTTGCATCGGATTCGGCTCCTGGAGGTCTACAAAYCTACAAATTCCTAACTTGTTTTTACAGATGCATAGTGAAAATAAGGTATCCTTGGAAATCAAGCATTTGAGTTTTTGAACCTCTTACTAAGTCCAACCTCTACATTATAATCAGGAATCTTTCTAAAATACAAATCTTATCTGATTTTATCTTTGATTACAAACTTCAAAGTACCCCCATTTGCTTATAGAAAACATCTATACCTGTAATTCCAGCTACTTAGGAGATTGAGGCAGGAGGATTGCAAATTCAAGGCCAGCCTCGAGGACTTCACAATACAGTGTCCCAAAATAAAAAATAAATAAAAAGGGCTGGGGATATAGCTCAGTAGAAAAGGGCCTCTGGGTTCAATCCCTAGCGGCTCCAGGAAAAAAAAAAAAAATCTGAATTTTCTCATGTGATTTATAAGGCCTTATATAATCTAGGCTCTACTGGAGTCTGAATTCTTGAAACTTACTTTCTTTGCCTAGCTAACTGCTACATATTATTTAGTTCTCCATCTATGACACCTCCTTTGAGAAGCTTTCCTCTGACACCTCAAGTCTTGAGGTAAGGTGCCTCTCCTCACTGCTCACAGAGCACTTTCACCCTCCGCTATCATTACTTACCTGTTCCCATACCAAGTAGACTTTGAGCAGGAAAAATATTCACCTTGTTTATCAGGAGCACCTAGCACAATACATGGCACATACACACACCATGGAAGCAATATGCAGCCATTGAATAAATGAATGAAATAATCTGCTGTTTCTTCAGGTAGCAATTTAAAAGGCATAATTTCCTAAGTAGTTCCAGGGTTCTGTAAAAAAAAAATCTCTCCAGACCAAATTCCCACAATTATCCTGATGAGTTTAGCCCCACTGAATGGAGATATTTAAGTGTATCTCATAGCACCAGTGAATACTTTCATTGGTGACAGGGTTCCAAGTAAGCGATTTTATGGTTCCTAATCCTGACAGCAATGAATAAATTCAATTAGGCTCAATAAAAGAAACAATCAAGTGGAATGTGTGTACGTTTAAATGCTCCATTTGCAGAAATAGGGATGTGCAGTTTTTACCCTGCGCTTGGCTTAGGTTTTTACCCTAGGCTTTCAATTCATTCCCTTCTCAGGCAATCCATGTCATTATATGTAAACCCAATGGGTGTGTTAGTGTGTGCATGTGTGTTATGTGTGAATGTTTTCATTCCTTAACAAATAACCCTGATGGTAGAAAGAGAGCCCAAAACTGCCTCATAAAAGTTTATGACCACTGGGGATACAGCTCAGTGTTTGCCTAGCATGCACAAGGCCCTGGGTTCAATCCCCAGCACCACACAAAAAAAATCATGACCTAGATCTGGAGGTATATATARCTCAGTGCTAGAGCACTTCCCTGGCACATGCCAGGCCCTGGTTTCAATCCCCATTGCCATTTAAAAAAAAAGAAAAAGAAAAAGTTATGACGAAAACGTTTATGACCTAACACAGAACCAGAATAGTTTGCTCTCTCCTTTTCCATTCTATTTCTTATCCACATTTGTACAAACCCATTCATATCCAAAAGAAGAAACAGTTGGTAGAGCTGACTCTTAACTAAACAGGAAGTTACTCACCTGATAAGATCCAAAGGTTTTGCTCCTTTTCCCTTGTCACTTCCTCCTGAACTTCACAGAGCATATGTTCAATGTTCATAACCACCTCAATGAGGTCATCCCTGGCTCCTCTGATCTCTAAATTTGCCTTTCCGGGACTGATAACCTCTGTAATGGAGACACTTGAGGTTCTCTGAAGTTTAGATAAAATGTCATGTTCCTTTTTCCCAAGGTGGCGAATATGCTTGTTCTCAATGGTGTGGATGTTCTGGGATGTCAGTATCCTTTGGATCCATGTTTTGGCCTCACATATCTCTTCCTTATTCCATCCCATCAGATYCATGGCAGGAGACCCCACTTCAAGCCCATTTTCTCTTTGCTCCTCGAGGGTTCCCTGGGGGACTGAAAGAACTATCATAAGCAACCATGGAAGGTTGGTGGTTTTTAAAATAGTACAGAACAAAACACCATGGCTAGTGTTTACCCCAAGGATATCTTCACCATTATCAGCACTAGTAGCTCCTAYTAAGAACCTATCTTTGAAAGCTGCACTGGATATAAAGACAATCTATATGCATTATTTAGAGCCTCCTTGGGAGCACAGAGTTTAGCTCTGGAGGAGCTGGTTTTATCATATCTGGTCTCTACTATGTGGCATTTGTCAATTCACAGATGAGTTCACCTTGTGATCTCAATCTGGATATCAACTAAGTATTGTTTCCTGATGAATGAAATTTTCCTTAACCTCTTGCTTCTGCCAATTTTAAAATCAAAGATCTCTGAAAGCCATACAATTCAAGGAGTGAAATTTACTGTTTTTGGTTTTGATTTTGGTACCTAGAATTGAACCCAGGGGTGCTTAACCACTGAGTCACATCCCCAGTCCTTTTTATTTTGAGACAGGTCTCACTAAGACTCACTAAGTTTCTGGCTGGCTTTGAATTTACAATCCACCTTCCTCAACCTCCCAAGTCACTGGGATTACATAAAACTTATTTTAAAAAACAAACCCACATCTCTGATAATAAAAATAATATATGCCTATAACTGGAAAACTAGAAAATTATCAGAGTATACTGAAAAGAAGAGATGCCTATAATTCTACTACCCCCAAATCCTTATTATATCTTATCTTTGTGTAATAGGACGTCTTGGACCTTCTTCTGCTTAAAGGATAGAGTTGGGCATCTCGCTTCTTCATCTCCACGGCAAGCATTTAAAGCTTAGCTACTGCTGCTGGAGATGGTATATTCTAGCAGGAAAAAGAAAGGGAACCTGATTCTAATCACCTATCTGTAGTCTTCATAAATGATAGAGATATTCAGGCAACTCTGAAACTCAAATTGAAAAAAAAAAGGTGTTGTGGGGGGAGAGAATGGACTAATTGAGAGGAAATTAAGGGCTGGGCCATAGTTTAATGGCAGAGCACTTGCCTAGCACATGTAAGGCACTGGATTCGATCCTTAGCACCACATAAAAATAAACTTAATAAAATAAAGGCATTCTGTCCATCTACAACTACAAATTCTTTTTTTAAAAAAAGAGAGGAAATTAATAGATCATGAACTATCTACAATATATGAAGAATTCTCTAAAATTATTAAGAAAAAGAAACAACCCAATAGTTACTTGGGCAAAATGTTTCACAGGAAAGGAAACATGAATGACCTGTATCTATGTGAAAAAAATAYGTTTATCCTTACTGGCAATGAGGGAATTGAAAAATCATCTACCAAACTGGAAAAAAATTTGACTCTGGGGCTTGGGCTATAGCTCAGTGGTAGAGCTCGTGCCTAGCATGTGTGAGGCACTGGGTTCGAGCCTCAGCACCATACAAAAATAAACAAAATAAAGGCATGGTGTCCATCTACAACTACAATTTTTTTTTTTTTWAATTCTTGACTCTGACAATCAAGTTGTCAGCAAGGATCTGTAGAGCAATGTAACTCAGAGCTTTATAGGAATAAATTTTAGAACAATTTTTTGAGGGACAAAAGTAAGTTGAACACTTACTATATTGTAGCATTGTTCCAAGGTCTTTACATGTATTATTTTATTCAAGCTTCAAGACCAAACTCCCATTGTACAAATAAGGAGAACTTTGTAAGACTCAGAGTGTCATTAAGTAACGTGCCCACAGTTATGGAACCAGTTAGTGGTGGCCATGAAGTCAACAGGTATGGACATTTGACTCCAGTGCTCGCACAATTACGCCTATTATTAGTGACCCTGGAACAATAAGATAAGCAGCATCTTTATCCTGATATTGTACTTGGTTCGCCTCAGAAACTATGAAAAAGAGCTAGGATAGAACTAGAAGTAAGAGGGAAAGGAAGGCCTCTCTCTGATAAAAATAAAAGCCCATGTTTTACTTTTTGGAATTTTTTTCCATTTATAAGCTAAAATTTTAGACAATAGTAAGAAAATATTTTAATTGRAGGCATGCTTTTTGTTGTTTTAARCCCTTGTTTAGGAGCATATATTACATTTTAAGAGAAAATTTAAAACATCCAAGATGGGACTTCATTCATGTGCCATTATTAGGAAAGAAGAATTGTTCAGACCACTAAAGGATACTCCTCTAGCACCAAAACACATTTAACTATTTATTATCTAAATAATCCTAATGGAAACATGCTTCTCTGCCTTTCTAACTAGTTTAACCTTTCCTTGGTAACTGRGATGAAGATCAATCATTATGACTGTCAATTATTGTCCTGTGCTATCTAATTACTTTACAGATACCCTCAAGAATTACTGAAACAAATGGTGACCCTTGCCCTGAATCAGATTAATGACATAGACTTTTGTCTATGTCATTATGCTTCTTTTCCACATGAGCCTCATCTAAAACACTCCCTCTTACCTAGCTACCCTGTATTCCTTGTGGTTTGCTCCTGTGGGTTTTCCTGGGTGCTGTCACCCTCACCACCACCACACACATACACTGGCTATTGAAACTCTTGCCATCCTCAAAGCTCAATATAGAACCATTCTTATCCATGAAGCCATTCTTCTTTTTCTTTTTGTGTACTGGGGATTGAACCCAGTGGTACTTAACCACTGAGCCACATCCCCAGTCCTTTTTTGTATTTTATTTAGAGATAGGGTCTCATTGAGTTGCTTAGGGACTCCCTAAATTGCTGAGGCTGGCTTTGAACTTGAGATCCTCTGGCCTCAGCCTCCCAAGTTACCACTCCTGGCCATGAAGCCATTTTTGACCCCTCCCAGTCAGAAAAAATCTCCTCCTCCTCTGGGCCACCTGGGAAGTATGTCCATCTTCCCATTCATCTTTTGTTCCCCTGGCATTTGTTTAATGTTTTGTAATTTACAGACTATCTTTACATACATAACCTCCAATTATTCTCACAATAGTCAATTATTATCATCACCATTTTACAGACAAATGGATAGGCTGATAAAAAGCACAGTCCCAGGCCAAAACCCTTGAAATTCCTCCTTCTTCAATTTTAGAACTGTTGGGTCACTGAACATTCCTGTTCAGTTCACTCAAATTCCACTGAAGGAATAAAGTTATGAGACAAAGCTAATCCTCGCCTGCCACTAACAACCAGAATTGGTTTAATCCAGGGATCCCAAACCTAAATCAGCTGCAAAACTTATTAGGGAGCATTAAAAAATATCTGCTTTAAAAAAAAAAAAAAATATCTGCTTGGTCCACACTCAAAGTTTCTGAATCTGAATCTGTAGAGTTGGGACCTCTCCCTCCCCTCCCCCACCAACCGTGCGTGCGTGCGTGCGTGCGTGCGCGTTCTTGTGTGTGTGCGCGCGTGTGCGTTCGTGTGTGTGTGTGTGTGTGTGTGTGTGTGTGTGTGTGTGTGTGTGTGTGTGTTAAAGTTTCCATCATGATAGTGTTGAGTTAACCCATTTATCTGGTATTACTCAGAGGCATTTTCTCTAATTAGTCATAAGTAACCCATTTAGATATTTGGGACATAAAGTCTTACTAGCTTAGCCAGTTTATGGAGGGCAGCTTTGTTATGAGAAAAAATTACAAACATTTATAAATGAACTGCCCACACTGTGGATTATCTTTTTTTTTTTTTTTTTTTTTTTTAATTCTCGGTGGACACAGCATCTTTATTTTATTTTTATGTAGTGCTGAGGGTAGAACCCAGCGCCCCGAACATGCCAGGCAAGCACGCTACCACTTGAGCCACATCCCCAGCCCACTGTGGATTATCTACTGCAACTTAACTTCTCCGTCAGTATCATGAAATTAGATTAAGCAAAAATAGAATCAAGTTCAGGTATAAAGCAGGTCAGGTGTCTAGTAGGAGCACAATAAACTATTGGCTTATTCTCCTTTCCTGTATTAGTTCAGATGATCAAGAACAGAATGAACCTATGATGGGAAACTCTACTTCTARATCTGTGAATTTCCTACTCACCATTGTAAATGTTACAATTCGGCATCTTGTAATTCTTTGTCATTTCATGACTGAAAGCCTACAATAAGCAAAACAGAGCAGAGAGTCATGAGCAGGRTATATAGTCGTTGTCACCAAAATCTCTCTTTATCTGTACCAAACACACTTGACCTCATCTGCCTCTCAATCCCCATCCCCATTGCCACAAATCTAAAAGGAAAGTCCTAGGGAACAGCAAGTGCAGCACCATACTCTATTAGAACACCTAGGGACAACAAGGAAGGAAAAACAAATATAGTACAAAAAAAAAAAGAAGAATGTATACTCCAAGGCAAAAAATAATCACCTATTCATTCATTCATTCATTCATTCAATAGACCTTCATTTCCTGCTTATTATAAGTATTATAATATTAGGCATGAATTAAAGCTGTAAATATGTACTCTTTCTTGTTCAAAATTGATACAATGGGTAGTACTTTATTGAAAAGGTGCTATTTATTAATGAGGTAAAGTTTAGATTTTGCTTTGCATCTAAGTTTTAACAATAAGTTTCTTAATCTATAGGATATCTTTTTTTCAGATATTCATTTTTATTTATTTATTTTTAATTTTTAATTCTAATTTTTTATAGATGACAGCAAAATGCATTACAGTTCATATTATACATATAGAGCACAATTTTTCATATCTCTGGTTGTACACAGAGTACATTTACACCCTTTGGGTCTTCTTACATGTACTTAGGGTAATTGTGTCCATCTCATTCCACCCTCTTTTCTAAACCCATGCCTCCTCTCTTCCCCTCCCTCCCCTTTGCCCTAACCAGAGTTCTTCTGATCCTCCCATGCTCCTCCTCCTAACCCTACTATGAATCAGCCTCCTTATATCAGAGAAAACATTTGGCATTTGGTTTCCTGGGATTGGCTAACTTCACTTAGTATTATATTCTATAGGACATCTTTATAAATATTTTTTTTCAGTTGTAGATGGACACAATACCTTAATTAATTAATTTATTTTTATGTGGTGCTGAAGATCAAACCYAGTGCTTCACACATGCTAGGCAAGCACTGCACCTCTGAGCCACAATCCAGCCCAGACAGTTTCTTCATAAATGATCATTTCAGCTATTATTTTCAGAGCAAAAAGTCCTTGATATTACCATATTTAGTTACCTGGAGAGGTTATAACACCCTCCTCATCCAAGAACTCAGAAATAAAACAAATAAGGTACATTACCTGTTGATAAATAAACAAATAAGAACTGCCAGTCAGGTGTGGTGGCACACCCCTATAATCCCAGTGGCTTAGGAGGCTGAGGCAGGAGAGTCTTGAGTTCAAAACCAGCCTCAATAACTTAAAGAGGCCCTAAGCAACTCAGCAAGATCCTGTCTCTAAATAATATATTAAAAAGCTCTGGGGATGTGACTTGGTAGTTAATCGCCCCTGGGTTCAATCCCCAATACCAAAAATGAATAAATAAATCACCTCTTTCTAGAAGGTCATTTTAAAAGTCAGAATGTATTTATAGGGTTAGAAATAATCAGGCAGCCAATGAAATGATTCTATATTTAGAAGACCTAAAAAAACTCCACCAGAAAGCTTCTAGAACTCATAAACAAATTCAGCAAAGTAGCAGGATATAAAACCAACACCCATAAATCAGTTGCATTCCTATAAGCCAATGATGAATCAACTGAAAGAGAAATCAGGAAAACTATCCCATTCACAATAGCCTCAAAAAAATAAAATATTTGGGAATTAATCTAATAAAAGAGGTACAAGATCTCTACAATGAAAACTACAGAACACTAAAGAAAGAAATTGAAGAAGACTTTAGAAGATGGAAAGACCTCCCATGTTATTGGATAGGCAGAATTGATATTGTCAAAGGGGCCATACTCCCAAAGCTCTATACATATTTAATACAACTCCTATTAAAATTCCAATAATGCTCTTTATAGAAATAGAAAAAGCAGTCATTAAATAAATTAATTTGGAAAATAAGAGGCCCAGAAKAGCCAAAGCAATCCTCAGTAARAAAAGTGACACAGGAGGCATCACAATATCAGACCTTAAATTATCCTACAGAGCTATGGTAACAAAACAGCATGGTATTGGCGCCAAAACAGACATGAAGACCAATGGAACAGAATATAAGACACAGAGTCATACCAACGTAAATACAGTTATCTCATACTAGACAAAGGTGATATAAACATACATTGGAGAAAAGAGAGCCACTTCAACAAATGGTACTGAGAAAACTGGAAATACATGTAATAGAATGAAATTGAACCTCTATCTCTCACCCTGTTCAAAAGTCAACTCAAAGTGGATCAAGACCTTGGCATTAGACAGAGGCCCTGCATCTACTAGAAGAAAAAGTAGGTCCAACTCTCCACCATGTTGGCTTAGGAACTGACTTCCTCAATAAGATTCCCAAAGCACAAGAAGAAAAATCAAAAATCAATAAACGGGATGGTWTCAAACCAAAGTTTCTGCACCACAAAGGAAACAATCAAGAATGTGAACAGAGAGCCTATAGAATTGGAAAAAATCTTTACCACCAGCACCTCAGAGCATTAATCTCCGGAATATACCAAGAACTCAAAAAACTTAACACCAAAACAAACAAACAACCCAKTCAATAAATGGGTTAAGGAACTGACTAGGCACTTCATAAAAGAAGAAATATGAATGGTCAAAAAATACATTAAAAAATGTTCAACATCTCTAGCAATTAGAAAAATGTGAATCAAAACTATACTGAGATTCCACCTCATCCCAATCAGAATGGCACTTATCAAGAATACAACTAACAATAAATATTGATGAGGATATGGGAAAAAAGGTTCATTTATATGATGGGACTGAAAATTTGTGCAACCACTCTGGAAAGCAGTATTGAGATACCTTTGAAAACTTGGAATGAAACAACCATTTGACTCAGTTATTCCACTCCGTGGTTTATACCCAAAGAACTTGAAATCAGCATACTACTGTGACGCAGCCACTTYAATGTTTATAGCAGCTCAATTCACAATAGCCAAGCTATAGAATCAATATAGATTCCCTACAACAGGAGAATGGATAAAGAATGTAGTATAGGGCTGGAGATATGGCTCAAGCGGTAGCGCGCTCACCTGGCATGCACTGGGCGCTGGGTTCGATCCTTAGCACCACATAAAAATAAATATGTTGTGTCCACCGAAAACTAAAAAAATAAATATTAAAAAATTCTCTCTCTCTCTCTCTCTCTCTCTCTCTCTCTCTAAAAAACAACAACAACAACAACAAAAAAAAAAAACATTGACCTCTGAGGGAAATTCCAGATTCAAGCTATAGCAGATATGTGTTATGTATATACACAGGTGAATGTGGTATATATATATGCACAAAGGAGTATATATTACTCATTCTCATAAAGAGAAGAATAAAATTATGGCATTTGCCAGTAAATGAATGAAACTGGAGAATATCATGCTAAGTGAAATAAGACAGTCTCAAAAAACSAAAGGTAGAATGTTCTCTCTAATATGTGGTACCAACACACAATAAGGAGGTGGAGAGGAATGAATAGAAGTTCATTGGACTAAACAAAGAGGAATGAGGGGAAGGGAGAGGGGATGGAAATATGAAAAACAGTAGAATGAATCAGACATATCTTTCCTATCTTTGTATGTGAATATATGACCAATGTAACTCCACATCATGTACAACCACAATAATRGGATCCTAGTTGGAACAAGTTATACTTATTCTATGTGTGTATAATATGTCAAAATATATCCCACTGTCAAGTATATCTAGAAAGAATAAATTAAAAAAAGAATAATTAGGCAAGACTTTTGAATTGAATGTGAAGGAAAAACTGTAACTTCATCATTAGTGATGACATTGAAGAAATAATGTGTGAATGACAAGCAGATGGTCTGCAAGGATCTTGGAAAAGTGGAGCCAAATGGCAAGAATTTGGCAGCATTTTTCCAGTTCTATCCACTAGTGACCAACACCTTATCTGGGAGATGTCAGTAATGTGTTCAAAAAAGGGTTCCTTATTCTGAGACACAATGCCTGGCACAAGGTAAATATTCAATAAATATTTGTTAAATAACCATCCRTTGCCTTTTATAGATACTCAGCTCTACCCAAGACTCTTACCATCATGAAACACTGWTGAACACAAGTACTCTAGTCAGCTGGGAACTACTTCTTCACTTCAGTTCTGAATTGAAAAAATATAAGTATGTGAAAATGGGTATCACTTTATTGTGAGTTAGGTGTAGATTAAGTCAGGCCTAAGTGTCTGACAAATCCATTTTCTGGAATACAGGGACCCTATCAAGTAACATCCTCATGAGGACCTTTGTATGTTGTCATTGATCTTTCTATACACACATCTCTCACTGTAAAACTTATTTAGGAAGAAAAGAGGAGCTTATCAGAAAGCCACAGGTGGAAATAAATGCATGCACACGCCTCATAATTCTATGTGGATATTATGTAGGTGTTAATGTTGAAAAAGCCTGGAGAAATGGTGAATGGTCACTATATAATGTAAACTATTGGATAAGAGAATCCTCTCCATTGAGTTATAAAACTGAAAGACATATTATATATTTCTCAAATATTTGGTTTGTGGTTCAGAACACAGGCTTTGGGGGCAAACAAACAGACCCAAGTTGGAATCTTGGTTTAGCCCCTTTACTAGCTGTGAGCATATTAACCCCAGAGTTGTTTTCCCATCTGTGAAATGGAAATGCTAATAGTGGCTTCATCACACTATCATGGGGTGAATGTAATGAGACAGCTTCTGCTTAGCACTGTGTCTGGCAGACCAATGTATGATGGCAATTGTTATGCTTAGCCTCAAGGGGAGCCCTCAGTCTGTGTTTGATCTTTTCACTTTCCTTGAACTGCCAAGTACAATTCTATTTGTATGTTGAAGAGAACGAATCTTCTTTTCTAAATGCGCTTAATTCCCCTTGCAAGGGTATAGTGCTTCATGCAGAACCGCGGAAAGTTCTCAGGGTACCTGTGTAGGCCCAGTAATAGTCCTCTGCATGAAGGAAACTGTCAGTCTTTATTCAAAGCACAGGACGATTCATTTTGTCAAAAAGGTGAGCTACTTCACTGGGTCATTTGCCACAATTCTGCCAGGGAGCTGTGGAGGAGGCACAGTAGTGAACAGGAGTGGCTTACACTGGCTCATAAGCATCCACTGGGAACATCAATTCCAACCTGACCTGTAGTGGTATCACACTGATGGCTTAAGCCATGGAAATTAGCAAATGCTACAAATCTCCTTTTATGATTGGGCAGAAGAAGGAATAAGAACCTTTACAATTGTTCCAAGAAAGAGCAAGCTGGAACAAGTATGCCACTACACAAGGGGAACAGGCCAGGAAATGGAGAGAGAAACAGAAAACTAAGGTCCACAACCACTCTCTACCAGGCACTGAGCAAGCTCCTTCTATCCAAAACTCAGACACACTCCTGGGAAGCCTCACTTGAATGTTGGTTACAGGCAGAATCCAAAACCCATATCTAGAAAATCTATTTTAAGTAGCTGTTTCTTATTCCTTTTTATTCTTCCTTCACATTATTAAAAAATTTTCAGTACTAGGGATTGAACCCAGGATCACTCTACCAGGGCTGGTACATTCCCARCCCTTTTTATTTTTTGAGACAGGGTCTCACTAAGTTATGCTGGATGGCCTGGAATTTGTGATCCACCTGCCTCAGACTCTCAGTTCCTAGCATTATAGATGTGCCTCACTATGCCTGACAAACTGTAGGACATTTCTTTTTTTTTTTTTTTTTTTTTTTAGGACAG